TGAATCTGTCTATAGAACTATATAGGGTGAGGCAAAAATAGGTTTACAGTTGTTCACATGGAAAATAACACGATGATTAATATATAATAAAACAAGAATAAACTCTGTGTTTTGCATGCTCCCAACTGTAACCCTGCTTTTTCTGCACCCTGTATACACTTACCCTGCTTTCAATTCCCTCCATGTCAACTAACACCAGGCTCATGAACAAACTTTAACTCCTACACTCATCCTTGCTGTCATTCAATGTACCTTCTTGGGCCTTAGCCATCTTTTTGGTTTTTATTTTTTACATAAGTTTCTTTTTCCCTTTTATATTCTCCCAGCTGGCCTTTATTCTCAGTCCCTTCTATATTTTGCATATTTCACTGTGTTCTTCATGTCACCCATTGGCCAATATTAACCTCCCCATTCCACATGGCTCACAGATAGGTCTTCAGGAGACAGAAGGAACAAGAAAGTCAGAGAAAAGAATGAGAAGGTTATTTTAGATATAGGTGTGATTTTACCAAGTTTATACATATTTTAAAAGTAGGGTAAAATGAAAACGTTTGATTTTTGTCAATCACTGCTAATTAAGGTATTATTACGGTAGAGCATACATGTAGATACAGTACAATGTTTTTCTCCTGGGCAGTTTTCCACAAGAACAAGTGTATCATTTGATAAACACACTTCAACATATAAGAGTTCCTGACATGGAAAGGTATTCTGTAGTGTGAAATGAAAGCCTCAGGTATTGATACAGAACATATACGCAGCCTGTTTATCCCTTCCACAGTTCGATATACTGGAACATATTTATGCCAGGAGATCGATCATTAACCTGTTTACGTTATGAATTTTCTCATCCTTAACAATGGAGTTGTGTACAGACATCCGCTTGCCCAGAGGGCAGCCTCCATTTCTCAGCCCTTAGTGGGAGGTGTGGCCAGGAAACTATGTTCTAGCACATGGAATGTGAAAGAGGAAGAAGTGTGCGGCTTCTGGGTCCCTTCACAGAGAAGCATGGCCGCCCTGCGCCCTTTGCCCTCCGCACTGACCTCAATATGGATAAGGGCTCCCGGTGGCAGAGCGGTTGGAAGAAAGGGGCCTGGATCTTGGAAAACACAGAGCCAACACCTGGATCAGAATGGCTTATATGCAATTATTATGTGTCTGTGAGAAACAGAGGTTGTGTAAGCCACTTTTATGCTGGTTTTTTGTGCTGGCGGTCAAGTCTGTAGTATAAATGGTAACATTCGGTTTCTTATTCAAATGTGAGGTTTTTGTTCAAATGTGCAATGAGGTGTCATTGCACATTTGAACAAAATGTGCAATGACACCTCAAAGTTTAGATCATTTCTGCATTATCTTTTGGAGTTTATTTTTCTTTGTCATGTGAATTATGCTTTATGTGAGCAAATGAAAATGTGGTCATACATTTATGTAACTATTATGGTTATTCAAAAATTTGGGAACTATTCAAATAGCCTCAAGAGAAGACCGAATTTTGGACTCTCTTTAATTAGTAAACCACCATCAAGAACAAATACACTAGTTTTCTAAAAAAAGTCTAACCTCAAGTCTTTCCCTACATATTTTCCATCTTCACATCTCATTTGGTTTAAAGAGACGACTTCTTCGGCTGCCTCCCTCCTCCAGATTTCTTGGGAATTTGTGTCTGAGAATTGCAGCTGCCTTACCCCAAGGCCCACCCACGCCCTAGAAGCATTGGTCCTATGCCACTCAACCTTCTGGCTGGCTGAGTTCTAATGTCCGCTCACAATCTACTTGGTTTTCCTTTGACTTCAGTGGCTTCACTTTAATGATATATTTCATCGTATCTAGGGAAATTATTAGCTTAAAAGGCTAATATTCACATATACTATAAATGCAATCCTCTTTAATTGGAACTCCTAATAAATATATGTGTGGCTCTCCTTGAAAGCCAGAAGTGTCATTGGAAAACAACAAAAATACATCGTGCAGTACAATAAGTGCCTGCCAAGATTTATAGGTTTCAAGAAATAATAATTTATGCCTAAAGTATATCACTGGAATGCTATTTCAGTGCGTTCTGAGGCTTACTCTTATAAACTCTGTTTTTGTTTTTAGTTTTATCAAGTTGTAGGATCTTGATTATATCCTGATCCAAAACAAAACAAAACAAAACAAAACACTCCCAAAACTCATGCTCATAAATTCAAAGACAGATTTGGTTCACTCACATGACCATCAGATAAAGTTCAGTAACTAAAATTTTATTAGCTTATATTCTATTTCATCTTTTTAAGCTCTAATCTTAAAGCTGTCACAATAGCCAACAAATAGTTTCAGGGATAGAGACAATTAAGCAAACTTTTTTCAGAACCTGGCACCTAATACTTTAGACATGAAAATGTGGCTTGGGTGGTTCTCCACAAGGCTTAGCTGGTTTAAACTAGATGTACCGACATTAAGAATTGAGTAGCTCATTGAAACCCTTATTCATATTTTGAACAACTTGATAAATATTTGTTTCCACCTCCTAAAAGTAGTAATAATCATGCTAACTGGATAAAAGGTGTTTTGTGCCATGCAAAAAATGCTTCAAGTACTTTATCTAATATCATTTTGTTTTTGTACTTCTGTTAATTATATGCATTTCACCCATAATTCTATGACCTTTTAGAAAATGTATACAGGGTAAAAAGTAAAAAAAAAACCCAACAAAACAAAACCCTGCTTCTACCCTTTTAATTATATTATCTTAAAGTAACTTCTGTTAACAATTGTGTGGCTATTGAGCTAAAACTTGGAATATTCTTATTGAGTCCCACCGGTTTATGCCTCTGCTTCTATTGTTCTTTATCTCCATCTCTGTCTCTATCCTCATCTCTGTCCCTGCATCCCCGCACTTTGTCACTTGAGGCTGGGATATGCTACACACATTGGCCTGCCACTGCCATTCTCCAGATGCACCATATCCTGAGCATCATGCAGTTCGTGTATGAGGATCTCACTCCACCTTTTTAACGGTCGCATAGCATTCCAAACTGCAGCCGCAGTGTATACATTAATGTTATTATTAACTTTAGCACATACACAGCATTCTAAACAATAATCAAACATTCCTTATGGATGGATTTTTTCTTTTTTGTCAGTACTGTACAATATAATTATGAACATTTCTGTACATATATTTTGATGAAATTGTTTTAGTATTTTTTAAAATATTTTTTGTTCTTGAATTATTTCTTTTGTTTTATTGTTTCTTTTGGTAATGGTCTAATATGGCTAATTCCCAATTTAAAGGTATTTTAACTCCTAATTATCAAACAGAACAAAAATTCCTATGTGTTTTGATTCTAGAGGCTTCTTTTATAATCATACTTTTCCAGAGTAAATTCGAAACCTAAAATTTTGCATGAAATCTGTTTATTACAAGGCATCACAAATGAGTTGTTGAGTCAGAGCAAATATTCCACCAGACAATGCCATAACACTTCAGAATGATGAAATGCTTAAAATAGAATATTTAAGTTAGGACTTGTACATGAGCTACAATTACAGCTCTCATAATGCAGCTATGCTATAGTGACATATCCAAGGGCAAATTCTTTCCACCATTCTTAGTATTGATATAAATGTCCAAGTGGTGAGCATATGTTTCTGGAATGTTTAATGTTTCTGTCGGCAGTTGGGCAGGGTTTGTCTTATTTTAGGGAAGCTATGTCATAGGTCAGTTAATACTTTCTTACGTCATTATTGCATTCCCTCCAACAGATTTGATGGGATATATGGAAATTTCTGGAAAATCCGACCTGAGCATTCCAATCTAAACAATTTTAGGGAGCATTAGCATTTTAATATGATTTATATACAGAAGGAAGGGTTTGCCAGAAGCATAGAATGCTCTGTTGGTATAGAGTTTGAGTAGCTCGATCTTTGCTGTAAAGCCTTTGACTTCACTTAAACTGACTTATGACATGTTACTGATCTAGTTTGTTAGTGAAACCACAGTTCATGGAAACCAGATTTCTTCACCACAAAGGAGAGCTTGGGATTTTTAACCCTCATCATAGATAGCTCAGTTGAACAGAAGTAAAAACATTATTTTTGTGTTAGAATTGCAATCATGGATTAATATATCAAAAGAGGGGCAAGGATGTTATACTACAATGTCCAATTTGCATTGTTTTTTTTCAGTGCCTATGGCTCTGTTGGATTTATAGAAGAAATTATAATTATATTTACACCAGTATTATAGAGTACTACATTGTTGGCAGCATTTTTGGAAAATCCTAAATACAAGACAAACTTTGGCCAAAAGTTCACTAGCCAATGCCTGCTTCACATGGCTCCATTCTAACCTTGCTTCCCTTGGAAACTACTTAGGGTAGTGTGGCATCTACAGGGTTAGTCCTGGAGCCTTGGCTCCATAAGAAAATTAATTTATATGTCCTTTTTGGTTAAGAGTTAAAGAAAAGTTCATGTATCTATTGATAATAAATGTGTCAGGGTATCATTTAAAATAACACCAGCATATTTGGGGGGGTGCTGTTGCCTTTATATATATGAAGGGGTCATTTTAATATGTAATTTATATCACTTTTGTTATGACTAAATATGCTTCTCAAAGGGAAAAAGAAACAAGCCCAAATAAATGGTATTAAATTAAAAATACTTTGCCTTTTTTTAAAAAAAATAGTAGATAATTTTTCAGATGGACTTTGAACATTGGGCTTTCTGATAACTATGTAATTCCAACTGAAGAAAGTGAAACCAATTCTGCCTTTGACACAGTCTCAAAATAGAATATTCATAAACCATTGTAAATATTATTAGTGACATGGATAGGTTATTATTTTAATTTTTACATATTTCAATGGTTTCCCCAAGAAGATACTCTTTGCATTACACAGCTACATCACAGGGCAAAAGAAACATCTGCATAGCTTTTTAATGCTACCGAAGTACTAAGTGATGGAAACAAAGATGTTTACGAAATTCCAAAAGCTGTATAATTTGTGTCTTACCTTTCTTTTGCGAAGCCTGACTTGATTATCTGTGGGTTCCTGGGTGGCCGGAGGTTCCTTTGAGTGTAAACAGTGCATGCCATCTCCTGAGTTAACCTCTGGAAGACTTTTGTTTTGATGTTCTGAGAAACCACTCTTCTGCAGGCCATTTTCAGCTGACATTCCCCTAGGGCAGGAAGAAGGCTGCAGAAGGCAGCTTCTGGTATCTGCTTTTAATAATGGCAGTCCTCTGTCTGCACAAGGAAAGGCAAAAAACTCATCTTGTACTACACAGCAGGTGTTTCTTTCATGTTCCTCTTTGGGGAAGTCGGGTTTCCTTCGCTGCTGAGCAATTACAGCAGAATTAAGTAATTGCTTCTCAGGCACAATATCTTTCACATTCAATGAATCGCATACATGTATTTGGGATGCATCTTTTATTTCACTTAAGCTTACATCATTACAAAGCTCCAGGCTTTTACTGATAATATCAATAACTTTTCTCTCCTGACTTTCTCCTACGAGGGCTAAATCAGCTCCACCAGCCACTCCCCAGGAGTTACAAGAATCTTGGTTTCTTTCAGAGATAGGAGGCATCTTTACTAAGGAGCCTGCTCCTTTGACGCTATGTTGGTCTGACGTTTTATGTTCTTGGGAAGTTAAAATCTGGTTACCAGCTGCGAGATAGAGATCAGAATCGGTATCCTCATCAGAGACGTGCACTAGAGTCTCTGTGCTGGCTTCCAGAGAAAGAAACGGATCTTCACCTTCACCTTCATGGCTGTCATTTTCATCTGCCTCCTTTGAAATGTGACCCATTGGCCTCCCAGGAAAATCTCTCAGCTCTGATCCGTGACAGCAATCTGGTAGTGAAACGCACTTCTCTTTGCGGTCCACATTTAGAGTTGCATCTTTTTCCATCCTTGCCTGCAAGCTGTCAGCTACGAGTCCATGATGACATGCCGTGTTACGATCATCAGAACTGAAGGGCTGTCCCATCCATTGGGTCACATGTTCTTCCCAGCTTCTCTTTCTGATAGCTACAGACATGTCATTGTAGTTTAACAACAGATAGAGAGAGACATTCCATACGAGACAAAAGGAGATCAAAGTCGATGAAAGATTACTTCAGATTCGCTGATGGAGGAAGAGAGTGAGTTTTATCATTTCACCACCTATTAAAAAATTAAAAATATAAATGTAGTGCAGGATCTGTGCTAGAAAGATTAAGCAATATAAATCTGTGCTAGAAAGATTAAGCAAGAGAGTTTATAAAATTCCTGTTTAATAGCTTTACTAGTATTAGTTCCTTAAGAAGCAGCCTAATATTAAAAGAACATTTCACATTGAATATTTCTGATAAAAAAATCATTGGCAATAGTTTAAAATGCAGCTGGGTTGATTGATCTATTGATGAATAAATACATAACTACTGGACATTGAAAATTCCAGTAGGAAAATATTTGGGCTGCAATACTTAGTACAATTCACCGGAAGAAACGTGTTGCTCTGGCTTACATGCTCTCCCGATTTACTTTTGTGAACACAAGTCTTTACAGAAATCTATTTGCAGTTTTGTTTGAATTTCTACAAAGGCCACCAGGGAACTGTTCCTGCACAATTTGAGCTATAAGACTGCATTTGTAATGTATTAGTGTGTGAAAGAGCTAATACAGATCACGAACTCTCAGGATGTATTTACTCCAGGGAGTGACTAAGAAACATGAAATAATCCAGTTTAGCTCACATTAACACATAATTCATGAGTAAGAAAGCATAACATATACCATTTACAGTGCCTCAGGATAAATACATTTACATGCATCCTATTACTGCTAGTACTAGCAAGCTAGCTAGTATTGTTGAAGCTAAGAGAAATTAAATAGCTTGCCCAAGGTTATACATATATGTAGGAAGTAAGCCAGGATTCAGACTAAGCCCTGGTTCTAAGGCCAGGCTTAGATACTCAACATACTTTATTGTCTCCATGGAGTGAGATCCTACCTCCACCCCTTCCCTCTGAGTATCTTTAGTGTGTATGAAATCTAAGTTCCTCAGGAAGGAATTTAGAAAATCAAAAAAGAAGATGTGAGAATGATAAGACAATTGGGATAGTTTTTCAGAAATCTCAGTCCCATTTCTTTAGATTCTATGGAGTTTAGTTTGTATACTTCTGTTAGAATTTGGCCATAAGAATTTAAGTAAACAAGAAAACCAGACATAAGATAAGGTCAGAAGATAAACACATTCCTGGTGTCCATCCTTTTTGCTTTGAATTGTTCAAACCCTTAGATAAAGGAAGTAAGTTATACCAGTGTAAACTGAGCCTGATAAAATCTTCCATAATGAAACCACATTAATAGACTTGTACAAGAAAAATCCCATTCAAAGAACAGACACTTCTGGTTTTCGCTCTGCATAAGAACTGTCCGCACATAATGTGGGTTGGCTTACTGATTTCAGCCATCAACCAGATTAACCGCTGTGCTGGTTTTGGGTCACTTTGGTTTACTGAAAAGGACTCTGACTCTTCACCAAAGATTTCAAGCTCTTCTGACTAAGTACTAAGCACATGCCAGAAAGGTAAATATTCCCATCCTGTGAAGGTCAGTGAAGTTAAGGAACATACTAGAATGTGGTTCCCCAGTCCAACCAAATGTCTTTATGGATACTATTTGGTTCCCTCACAGGTCTGCGCCCATCATTGAAAATGGTCATCATTCAGATTTTCCATGTTGGCATTTGTTCTGCTCTCAAAAGAAAATATAAAGTTCCTGAATTCCATGCATAAGTCGTTACAGTGTGGAAGGCTGCAGAAGGTGGAAAAAACGCATAGGTGATGGTCAGGAAATGTTCACTTTCATGGTCAAATTTGGGATGTAATAGGGTGGTTCTGTTTTAGATGCTTTCTTGTCTTTATTTTTATCTGGTGTAGAAAGAGAGGGATAACTGAAGAAATGCCAAGTGGTATCACTGTGTCATTTCTAGCCCACATTTACATTTAAACTGAGACCCAATTCTGGTTTCATTTCTTTTACTAAGGAGACATAGAATTTTATTAGCCCCTTGTGAAACAGATTACATTAGATTTTTCTTTTAAGACCTAACCATAATGTTAATTAGTTTTTAAGTGGACATTATTTTATTTTATTTTTATCATTAACTTATTTTACTCATCCTTGACAAGTAGGTAAGTATTTTTATACCATCAAAGGAAGGCAGTTCAACTAGTTCTGAGACAATCTGGTTACAAAAAGAGATTATAAATTAGATATCTACATCACAATATTAATTTTGTCCTAATTTCTAATCCAGGCTTTTTGGTTATTTCCAAATTATTTCTGTGAATGTACGGAGTCTTTACTTTTAAGACTAATGTCTTAATTATCATTATGACCATCATTACTACATTTTGAGTACCCATTCCGTAATATCTTGTGGTCTGATATATATTTAAAAAAATATCTCTACAATCATTCTTATTTTCACTTCCTATTTAAATTCTGATTTAAAAGATTTATAGTTAAAATCTGCCTCCATGAGTTAAAGGCTGAACAGAATGTTAGAAAGGAACACTGGACTATTTCCAATTGCATCTCGGCATATTGGCCTCATTTTCTAAATCATCTGAATTGACTGGAAGTGAGATTGTGAACTCTTGTAAAAGTCCTGACTCCCTATGAACCATCTCGCTGGGCTGTCTTATTTAAAATTATATTTCTAATTACTGACTACTTATTATGTACATTTCTATTTCTTTTCTTTTGGTAATCCTTTTTATGCAATTTCATTCAGAATGAGATCAGCTGCTGAGGATTTGGATGAAGGATCTGGAAAAATATAGGTCATTCCAGGGTGTTGATTTCATGAAGTGAGTTTCCATGGGGATTTTTCACTTCTTAAATGTATGTGTTCAAACACCACTCTGTTAATATTACAAGAGACTGTGTGTACCTTAAACTATATAAGATTTCTGAAAAATGTTTGTGAAATGTCTAAATTTACTTTTTTGTGATATTTGTACAAAAGATGTGTAGACACAAAGTGATTTCAAATGTACTGTTTGGGTTAATTCTGTGACACTTACTTCATAGAATAAGCATTTTTATGGCATACAGCGTATACATCTTAAGTACAATCGTGCTAAAAACAACAACAAATTCTATTAAGAATCATTGACATCTATCAGAGAGCAAATGATCATGCTCTCCTTTGAACTTGCTGCTGAAATAAACATATACCTTCCACTTTGGCCAGGCAATTGTCCCTAAGGAAGGAGAGCCCGATGATAACCGCCACTGCTGATTCTATTGCCTGGGAGAACACATGGAGGATGTGCCGCTGGAATCAAGTTGGCAGCACTGTAGAACTTCCGACAAGGCCGGTCATCATCATTCATTCAACAGGTGTTTATTCAGTGCCCAGTGGGCTGCAGACACTCTGCTAAATATTGGGGATATCAACCTAAATGATATATTCTACCTTTCCTAAAGAAGCTTAAAATTTATGTGAGAAATTCATGTAAACAAGAATAATGAATCCTTGCATAGCCACAAATACCATGGAAAATTTAATACAAAGGAGGGGGTCATCAATTCTCCCTCCCTCTATCCTTCCTTCCTTCCTTTCTATTGGCCTCATTTTCTGAATCATCTGAATTGACTACAGTCCATCCTATAAGACTGTGAAGTCTTTGGAAAAGTCCCTCCCTCCCTCCCTGCTTTCCTTCATCCCAGTAGTGTTGGAGATGGTGCAAATGTTTAATAGGCTTCCAGATGAGAAAACCCCTGAGTGAGGCCCTCTGTGGAAAATGTCCTGCCTGCAACACATTTGGGTAAAAATGGGAGTTGAGATAGATTTCTTACTCTATATAGGAAGTCATTCTTTCTTTCTGGCTTCAGATTTTTACTATCCTAGAATCGCTTCTTTGGGAAAAAGAGCAGAGGCAACAATAAGCTCTAGAGAATTACTTAACAAATTGGAAATGCATTGGTCGTGCAACAGAAGCACATTTCTATAGAGCACTTCAGAAAAAAATCAATGGAAGAAATTTTTCAAAGGAAAAAAGTAGATATTTCCCAGAACTAATGACCTAAGTTTTCAAATAAAAAAATCCATAGAGTATTCAATAATACAAGGAATGAAAATAGACCATGCCAAGAATTGTTATTGTGTAATTTCAGAAATTTAGAGGTGAACGAAAGATCATGAATATAATCAGAGAGAGAAAAAAGAGATTATATAGAGATTATATATTAGATATTGGGAATTAGAATGGTATTAGGTTTTGCAACACTAGGAATAAGGCAGGAAAATACACCTTCAAAATTTGGTAAGAAATTATTTCTGCCTTGAAATTATATGGAAAGCCTAAATCTTTTCTCCTTCTTCTCATGAAATTACTGGAGAAATAGTTCCACCCAAATGAAAGAATAAAAACATCTGGAAAGGACACAAAAACATGGAGGCCAAGAATTCAACACAATGACCAGGGAATCAATTTCCAGGGTGAAATTTATGTAGTAGGCCTAGTGGAAAATTATTTCACATAAATTCTAATGTGCTCCACAAGAGATGTCTCTGAGAAAAAAATAACCCAGGAAAATAATAGATTATATGATGTATGTAACCATATTGAGAGGAATTTTATATAAAAGACATATAATTTAAGGGAAAGAATCAGTAATAATTACATAGAGAGCTAAGGAAATTGTTTAACTCCAGGAAAAAGAGTTTTAGAAGAATGGAAATGCAATCATAGTATACTACCTGGCTTAGCTGTGAAGGTTTTTAGCAACCAAAATAATACAAATAGTAAACACTGAATTAATAAAAATTATGGGACAACTGTTTTCAGAGCATAACGTTGTATGCAGTGAGGAGATAGAGGCGGTAGGCAGAGTAATAGTTTCAGAGAGCTAATGTTAACGGATAATGTTTAAATTGGAAAAAAATAACACAATTGCATTGTTTAGAAGTCAGGAAATAAGTATCAGGAGAAATAGTTAAAATAATTTTTAAGTGCTGTGATTCTGTGTTATTTGCTTAAGATAGGAAAAAAGGTATCTTATCTATTAATCTCAGAAAGCGTATTAAGTGTTACTCTAAATTTTAATATGTTCCAGAGAAGTCACTGTAAGATTGAGTTGATGCTTAAATACAGAGGTGAGCAAAA